AGACATATTTATCCATATGGATATAAACATATCTATATCTATATAATATAAATCTACAGTTTAATTCCGATTATTCTGCAACTTGTCATACTCGATCTTCAAAATAAGAGGAAGGTCAAAACAAGAAAATTAGTCCAAGTGGTAAGCACTCATTATACGTACATATTTTTATGCTAATTAATGATTTTGAATGAAAACTCAGCGATTTAAAAGCTTTGCCTTGACATTCTGCAAAGCGTAATATGTATCAAATTTAATCAGAAAACTCGGCAATATAAAAAAAAAATGTGTTGCCACTTTGGGAAATGCAATAATATTAATTAGTTTCGAATTTAATAAACAAAGTCAGCTATTTAAGATAAATGTTTAGAAACTGCCTAAGTTAAAATATTTTATAGTCTATTTTCGTTCAGCAAAGTGTAAAACATTAAATTTTTCACCCATTTCCTTTGCTTTTTGAAAGTGAATTTGTGATAGTAGTCACAAAGCATTACTTTCGTTTGAAATAAATTATTCCACCAAAATGAAATTCGTCTGTTCGATATACTTCTTAAGGACGAAACGAAAACTTCAGAAACAAACGAGCAACGACGGGCAAGACTGGAAAACGTTCGAGTAAGCACTGATCTAACGTTTGAAACAAATGAGCAGCAGGAAGCAGGACAGGAAAATGTGAATTCGAGGACGCATTGTTCAAGCCCGTTCGTCTGGAAGAGACGAGCAAAAGAAGCAAGACTGGAAAACAGTCAAGTACTCACTTCTCAAGACCATTCGTCTGAAACAGACTAGCAACGGGAAGCAAAGACTGGAAAATATTCGAATACGCTTTACTCGATCCAGACTATCACTACACGCCGATTTAAATCTTGGAGCATTCCATTACGATGCTAATTATGATTATCGTATTCATACAAGTGTAGTCGTTGGAAGGATGCATAGATTATGCATGTATTTCAGAACCCTCAAATTTAAAAATGGAGCATCAGGAATGTTCTGCGCAGGTGGAAAAGTGAAATTGTAAGAATTAAAGTGATCACCCAAACCATTTCAATCTTGGTATCAGGTGGCACAAGCCAATCGAAGCGTGCAAAATACGCATAAAGAAAAAACTTCATAACAGAATTAAAACGCAAACACGTTTTTTGCTTCAAGTAGCATTGCAACGCATTCCGGGTAAGAACTAGTCTGATTATTTAAGAAAACTGCTTGGCAAGTATATATTTACTTAAATGTAGTAACTGAATGAAATAATGAAAATATTTTAGATGTTTTGAAATAATCTCGAAATTGGAAAGTAATTATTAAGAGTTTTAACGAAATTTAAAACGATTATTGAATTTATTCTCAAAGAAGTTATTATTTAACAATAACTTTTAGCTACCTTTAGCGACTTAACACGATTTCTAGACTAGAAATTAGAAAAAAAAAAAAAAAAACAGATGTGCAAGAATTATTTTAACTAACACGCAATTTTTATATTCATTCCTGCCTTTCAGTTATTTGTCTACTACCAGAAAGCACAAATTAAATGACTTAAGTTCAACAAGCGAAAACTCGAAGTTTCGAGATAGAGAAAGCTTAGTAACTTAGACCCGGAAGATGATGGTTCAAGTTCTTTCATTCTGAGCGCTAGTCTAACAGTCTTGAATTAGTTTTCCGCTTCTATCTACGTAATAAAGGTGTTGGCATGTAAGCCAGGTTCTTAATTTTTAATATTTGATTTGCACATAAAGTTAGTAATTTTTATATCATCTGACCACATGTAGCAGAACTAAATTTTGTTCGTCTTCCTCACTGTAGCTTCAAGCTGAATTAGCGATAAACATTTTAGTTGCTTTTACATATTTGTTGTTTTCAGTTCGTATTTTGCGACTTTAAGTTAGCCACTTCACCTCGAAACAGGTATCGAGACAGGTCGAATTGAAAAGCATCTTCAGGCATCAGCAACAAGACACATTCATCTTGCTTAACTAAGGCCTGGATAGTTATCTCCGACAAAGACTATTCGCTTCGTGTGTTTTCCAACATCCAGAATGGCGCGAAAGTTAGAAAAAGATATTTATGCAGTCTAATTGATCATGCTCTTTTCGGAGCGGGATAGTATCCGGATTATGCAAAGAAAATTCGCGTAAAAAGATGGTGAATAGGAATCATTTCCACTCTCTTTTAACTAGTATTGCGATAGGAATTACTGCTCATTTAAAAGCTAGCATTTAAAATATCATCTTTATTCATTTCCAGATGACAGAATAACGAATGCAAAAGAATTTTTTCTCCTGGGAGATGATACTATTCAGCATCCTTCAATGTGACAAATAGGCGGTTTTCTATATAGGTCTTGACAACCTGCGAAATTGGGAAAAAGACATTTCTAAGGCCAGTTTTCCAGAAGCAAAAAGCTGGTAGTTCGGTCCGAGGTTCGAATCCCGCGAACGGGCTGGCTGCATGGGTGTTTTCGTGGTTTTCCACATGTGTAACGTGTATACGAGCCAGTTTCCCTTAGAAAGTCCTCCACGAAGGCATCCCTCCCCTTAGGCAGATAGCCCTAGTGTGCTTTGCCATAATTAAATACACCACCACACCAGAAGCAAAAAGGTTACCTATGGAGGTAAAAAAAAAGCAAATATTTCAGTTTTGTAGATGGTGAAGAGGTTAAGACAAAAACTATATCATATCTACCGAGTTTATTCAGCAAAATTTGGATTAAATGCAATTAAAGTCTAACTATATAAATCTATTCGATGTAGACCAAAATTACCGGAAATAAAATTCCGTATGGCCGCTGGGGTTTAATGTGTAGACTTCGTATTCCTTTCATTAACTCTATATTTTTTTAAATATACGTAACATGCGATTGTATCCTCGTTAACTAATGTACTTCTCATGCTTCTGTTGAATTTTTCGGAAATCATTTCTTCGTCCAGACTGGTAATACTTTTATAATAATTATTCATTATTAATTTATTTAGAGTAATATTATGCATGTTTCTCATACATCGGAACGAAATTCGAATTCCATCCACCACTCGCAATCGGAATATTTTCATTATTACATAGAGAATGTGCTGTGGTGACATCCCCATCTATCACTTATATGGATTTCACTCGTAGCAATCATAAACGGTGTGTGTGTATTTAATTATGGCAAAGCACATTAGGGCTATCCTGCCTAAGGGGAGGGATGCCTTCGTGGAGGACTTTCTAAGGGCTGGCTCGTATACACGTTACACATGGGGAAAACCACGAAAACACCCAAGCAGCCAGCCCGTTCGCGGGATTCGAACCTCGGACCGAACTACCAGTGTTCAGCGACTTTACCGCTCGGCCGCTGGTGGGCCGCAATCATATACGGAGTCATATTAACATCAGTTTTGAATTTTCTCGGACCACCATAATATATAGATGAAAAAAGTAACTCCTCTGCACACGTATCATATACAAGATTCATTGGTTTGCAATTTTGATTTGGCACAGTATTAAGGCAATTTACTTCATTCCACAGCAATGTTTGTTGTCTTGGCGCTAATATTTTTGATTCCGCCACTTCCTTATCGATGTCTTCCAGCTTATAATTTTCTGCAACTATATCCGAAAGAGCATTCAACCCACTCTAATCGATCTTAACTTGGAAATGTTTAAAAAATGGCTGATTTTGTAAACGTTCTAACCAAACCTTAACAATACTTCACTACTCAGATAAACTGATTTATGCATGAAGCATTTATTTATGTTAGCGTTACATGCTTGATCATCATCGAAGTTTCTTAGCGAAGAGTTTACCATTGTATTAACATACCTGACACGTCGATTACTTGCCCAACTATTGTATACCCTTCCAATCGCAATCAACGAATTTGTGTGAATGGTATACAAGGTGATATCAAGCGTTCACTTACTGGATCAAACTGCGGCAAATAAAGACAATACGGATATGGGAATCCATGACTCTTTTATAACGCTAGTATTTGTTGTACAACGATCTATGGCGCACATAATTAGAACCTTCGTATATCTTCGTCTGGAAACTCCTTTCGCAACACAGCGATGAATTTATCATTCTTACTCATTGCAGTCAAATATTTCATAAACCACAAACCCTGCAAACATATCCGAACACATTGTCCGCAAAATGTTTTGTGAAATACCAGTAATTTGTACAGTGTTAATCTAAATCCTTCGATCATTGTTTGCGAAAATATTTTCCTGCGTTATCAATCTGAGGTATGCTTAAATATGACGATATACAGGATGAATTTGAAGTTGATGATCACTCATTTATTTGAAAGTAGTCTGTGATACTTAAATTCTTCTTATTTGTTTTTTCTTCGTTGTCTTTTGCTCGTTCTTTATTTCCTTCTTCACTTATCGGAATCGCTGCTCACTCTCTTCTCAGTTTCAACAAGTTTTTCGTTGAGTCATTTTAAAATTGCATTAATTTCAGAGAAGGAAAATTCACAAACGGTACAACCATTCACGACAACATTCAACAAGTAACTTAGCCAGAGCTGCCCACCCCCCAGATGAGAATGTGGAGGAATAAGATGCATTACTAATCACAGTGCATGCGAAACAGCGTGTGACATCATTATAACAGTAATTCCTAATTCCAAAATGTATTTTGCATTTTATAATGTATATACCTTCATCTATCAAAAGAAACATAAACCAACTCTGTACGTTTTGCAGTTGCGAAGATGTAAGCACTTCCGTGATCCGCAAAAGCGTATTAATTTTCCCTTTCCCATGGAAGAATGTAAATCTGCGTTAAAATTAATAATATATGTTGGAAATATGTTTCTGTCTGATAGAAAATCCTTTTATTATTTTAATTTATATAAATGCGACTTTTGTTATTTAGAAATTTATATCTCAAGACACTACGTGGCTGTATGTTGCAAATCATGTAGAAATAAAAAAAGAGCTCATATTTCATCCACAACCGCCAACTTTCATTGCGAATATCGCTATCAACTAAAATGTTCATATAATCAATTTTTGAAGAGATTCCAGCAATTTTATTGCGTAACGGTGCATGAAAAATTACAAAATCCTGCATATATTGTAGAAATATTATCTGAACAATTCTAGATTCAAATTATTTATTTATAAGGCGCAAATATCCTGTATTTTATAACAAAACTATTTGAATAAGGAATTTTCAAAAGACCCCAGTAGAGCGATTGTTGAAATAATGAATAAGATATTCCAAGACAAATTTCTTTGCGAAGTGTTAGGCATTTGTTCAACTTGATTTTCTTTCAAAATTCCGTATTTCGTTATGTTAAATTCGTAGTTATATCTTGGCTCTCCTGGCTCTGTAAAAGAGAAAAGAAATTAATCACTTATTTTTTATAAAAATAGCAAAATATATATTTCATAATAGTATGTTTTTATGATTTATGCAGTGCTAAATGTATAAACATAATTTTAAAACGTTCTTTCTGTACATGATATTCTAAAGCAAAAGAGGACACTTACTGAGCCTTTAAGGAAACATTAGTATTACTCTTTTAATATATTGTTAATTTCTTAATAAGAAAAATGAGTCTTAGCAGGTATTATTGGCGATATATCAGCGAGTACTGGTTACCCGGTTAATACACAAATACCGATATAAATTTCCTTTGTTTCTTATAAATAATGAAATTTAAATAATTTCATGTTAATTTTAAACTCCCTTAATTTCACCCAGAATGTAAATAACTCCGTAGATTCGATAATACGAATTAAAGATCTGCAACTAGTGAAATGTATTAAAATTAATGCTAATATTTACCGAAGTTGAATATTTTGCCAAGGATGCTGAAATTATTGTTCTTGCTTTCCTTTTTGGAGAAACAGTAATAGTCTTAAAGATCTTTTACAGAGTTTTTAAATATAAGGTAAATTTCCACTGTTTTTTTTTTTTTTTTTTTTTTTTTTTTTTTTTTTTTTTCTATCGAAAGCCCGATTTATGAGACTGGTAATCTGGAGCAAAGACTGTTATAAAGTTTTCCTGATCGAATTCTTTTAACTATCCTAGCTTCTTCTTATTCCCATTAGCGACCGAGGGTATAAGATGGCTGAACACTGGTGGCTCGACCAATGCTCAAATGCAGGTTATAGAGATGGCTGCATGGACATTTTCTTTGTTTTCGTCATGTTTAAGACCAATATGGAGCAAATTCCATTTAAATTAGCCTAATCTTTCTCCTGAGAAAGATAGCCCTCGCGTGCTTTAATATAATTAAAATAATCCAATCCAATTAAAAAATTAACATAAATGTGATCCAGTTTTCTTTGAAAATCCACTGCAAAGGCGTTCCTTCCATTAATTCAAGTTCCTGTTTGTTAAACGTACCTTTCCATTAAATCGCATATTTTTCAGTTTTTGTTACAATAAATCATTAAATGATTAGACTAATAATTAAAAAAGATAAAGGATTTTTGGGTCAATTTTCAATTCTTATTTTAGCATATTTTCAATTGGTTTTTGACATCATATTTTTCTTGTGCATTTTCTGTCATATACACTTTCGTTGCATAATGATTATACTCGCTATATTTTGGCAATATACACTTGCCTGGAGATATTGGAATGCTTCTACTTTATTTCTTAACAAATCTAGTAAAAGCATGATGCAAAATAAAATACGAATTAAGATGAGATTAATAAGATTTTGTCAGATAATGTTTCTCGTGATAAGGGGTTACCAGAAAATTTCATAGTGTAGATATATATTCGTTGTAACTGCCATGAGTTGACGTTGAAATAATTAAATCGAATCCTTCTAAAAGAATCTGAAGTAGCTTATAGGGTTCCCGTACAGCTTACGATAATCAAAATGCACTCGTATTACGTAACATCATGAGTGTCGAATGTGAAAAGTCCCGCAACAGCAGAAACTGGATGTGAACGATAGCATTACTTTACAAGCTGAGGTTTCGCTAAATGCTATCAGCGACCAATGAAAGCGTAATGAGAAGTGTCACATTCTTGGAAACACATAAAAAAACTAAAACATCAAATTAAAAATTTTGTACCTCTTTCTAATTTTTATTTTTAAAATCTAGATTTGAAAGAGAATATTTAAAATGTTATTTGTTTTTAATATTGAAGAAAGATTTGGAGGCCACCCTGAAAATAGACTGTGGAGCTATAAACTCCTTTGTTCCCATAATAAATCTTCTTTCTAACAAGTAAACACTGTTAGTGCGACATGGGTTTAAATACCGGTAAGCGAAGCGACTGCGTCAAGTTTTTGTTATTTTTCCTATGCATAATGTAAATACGAGTCAGTTTCCTCTCGAAGATACTCTATTTTTTCTCTTATGCAGGCTTCATCAGCGGCCGAGCACTGAAATTGCTGAGTAGTTTCACTGGGTTCATATCACGGTATAGGGCTGGCTACAAACTCGAACATGTGTGATCTCCCCACATATAATGTTATTAATGCATGTGTGATATTCCCATATAGATTATGTTTCGGTTATCTCCCCATGTAGAATGTTAACACTAATTCCTTCCCTTAAAACGTCCTCCATGAAAGCATCTCTTTCCATAAACATCCCTTTCCTTTGCCCTTCGACTTTGCCGTAATCCCCATAACCCTTAGACAGACGACCACTGCATGTTTTGCCAATACTTGTTAGTGAATTCGTCCATCAATTTTATCAGTCATATCTCCAGTAACCGTATTCATGTATTTCTGTCTATTTAAAACTGCATTTGAAGAAAATTTATTTTACTTAATTGTATACAGTGCAATTTCGTATGGTATATATAGTTTTATTTGTGAAAGTTTTTATGTGGATTTAGATCGTAGACGTACACTTTCAAGTACAAAATTGTTTTAAATAAGAAAAATATTTGCGACGTCAACTTTCGTATAGCGAGTATAAATTGACTGTCACAGTTACACCTGTTATGAAGTAACAATGGCTAAGTTTATAATGGCTAAAGACCGGTAAATACTAGTAGCTCCAATTAATTTCCTATTTGAAGAAAGGGCGGCTGCATGGTACTTTTAAGGTTTCCCTCTTAAGCAGCGTAAATACGAGACGTTCCTCTTTAAAGTCTTCCACAGAAGCATCCTTTTCTTTAAGCGAATATAATCCTAGTATACTTTACTATAATTGATAAAACAGCAAACATTACTGCGTCTCTGTTCTCCAATTTCTAAATCCATAGCAGCAGTTATAGACCTGCTTAAATATCTAAGAAAGTTTTTGTAAATTTCGAACAATTTTAAAAAGCCAGGCTCGGATGTATCAGATTTCATTTGCCAGCCTGAAAAGTACTGATGAAAATATTTTCAATTTCTTGCATTGAAGACGCACAGTTCATGTTTTTAAAATGTTTACTTCATCTTTCGAAAACTCGTTTTACACAAACTCATTGGTCTTATCGGCTCTGGAAGCAAGAAAATCAATTTTTTTCCTACCCGGAATTGGAACCATTGTCTTGGCATCGCCAAATGTATTAACCACATATACCACGAGATTGCGCATTGACAGTTTCTTACACGTTCCATCACTTAAAAGGCGATTAGACAAAAATGAAAAGCTGTTATATGTTTTCAAAAAATATGAGAAATTAGTGCTGTTATCAAGATTTAAACCTCAGATCGTCCAACTGTAACTGTATGCTTATACCAGGAAAGCACACTTGAGAAAGTGCACAATTTCTTTGTATATCGAATTTATCATATATACTAGTGTTACATTTTTATCTTATTGAAATTTCTACTATTAGGTAGTAGATGACTTTAGTCATTAAGTATTCCTTTTATTTACTCCATGCGTAATGTAATTATGAGCCAGTTTTTCCTTAAGTATCTCTATGAAGACATTTTTTTATTCAGTTTTAGAACAGAGAGAATAAAAATGGATAACTATAGCCTTAAACAATCAATACACAAAAAAGAACATTTGGTATCTTCCCCAAATCTTACTAAATAGATGCTGCTTGCTGGCTTATACATATGGAAAAATTCGAGAACTTTTAAACCCTCACAGACAAAGCCCTTCCATGCAAAAACACAGCCATGAATGATGACAACATAGAATTCTCTTCTTCATGTTAAAGACCTGACATGCTCTCTCCTTTCAATACCAGGACGAGGATGTCCGCCGAAAACATCGTGCACGAAAACGTCACGGAGAAAACTACGCAAGGCGAAAACGTCGTGGTACAAAACATCGTGGGAGAAAAGAAAGCAAAGAGAAAACATCGCAGTTCTAAAACATCGCGGTACAAAATATCGTAGCCGAAAATAAAGCGGTTTAATAACTTCGCAAAACATGGTCGTGGAAAATACCGTGGTAAAAAATAAAGCTCCTGCAAATCATCGCATGAAGCATAGCAGACATGCATTTAACAGGCATTACAAGTTCTAAATACATATGCGTATAATGATTTATGAGGGCAAGAAGGTAAGTGAAATATATTTATTTTTATAATTCCTAATTTTGAATTATTTAACACATTTTTACTGAAAAAGTGAGAACGAAACATGAGATTTACAAACTGAAAATGAGTGGAACATTAATGCAATTTATAACTTAACTTACAGAACTCTTAAACTTACATAGAAAACTAATAAAAGTCATAAATAAATTAATCATTTTATAAAATTTTACTGATAATTTATCATGGAAAATTATATTCTAATAAAGTTTAAAAAAAGGAAAATCTGTAGCTGTATGAGATTATCACTGTAAAAATTGTTTAGTTAATTCTCAAATTATTTTCTTTCACGTTTGTTATTCTGATATTCTTTTAGCAAAACTTATATGGTTTAGTTCCGTTTATTCTTTAAGTTCCGTTAACATTTTCATGTACAACGTGCAGAAAATTTTTGGCTGTCAGTTTGTTACCTATGATGAACGACAGCTACATAATAGCTACATAATATTTCAGCAGGCTATTTGGATTTATTTAATTAAACAAAAGCAGACTAGGACTGTGACATCCAAATAATTAACCGCACGCTGTATAACGGAATTTAAAAAATAAACGGAACCAGAACATATAATTTTCATTAAAATAATATCAGATTAACAAACGTGAAAGAAAATAATTTGACAATTACCGTATTTATGCGAATCTAATGCGCATCGTTTTTGGCCAAATGTAGTATTCAAAATTAGGGTGCGCATTAGATTCGATGGCGCATTAGATTCGAGTGCAAAGTTTGCCGATGACGTCAACCAAATTTAAATCGTAACAAAGGATTACTGTATTTCTCGACTACATTTACCATTACATTTATCGTTGACACATTATTGCATAGAGGATACAAACTGCAGAGTACGTAGTCAAGAAATGGAGGGC